TTTTTTTTTTTTGTCGTGTCGATGAATCAAGATGAATTTGAAATTTCACCTGCGACCGTTAATTAAGGACGACTCCCATATCCAAGTAGTGAAATTTCAAAAAACAATCGACTCTCAAATGCGACGGAGATCTTTGATAAGTATTTGCATCTATTGTAAGCAAATCTATTGTACCTTACATTCTTCCGTCAAGGCTATATAACCGGGCGGGACTTGAAATTAATTTGCAAAATTTGCGAGTTCTATTATTTTTTTTACATTTGTTTCTACATGTGTGCCATCATCAACCCGTTGAGTTTATTGCTAAATACAGCTACGTTAGCGCCTCTGTTCAATTTTGTGGTTATATTTTTCATATATCAGTAGATACGTCCTAGTTTTTCTTTTTTTAGGTTTCGTGTTTTGCGTTTACATAGAAAAATGGACTCAAATTTAGGATGCGTTTTATATGGTCCGTAGGTAACATTAAAATAAATTTTCAATAAATTGTCTCTAAATTTGAGATTTGAAAGGAGTGACAACAACAATTCAGTCGATAGTAATACGAACGCTCGGTGACATTAATTAGACGAGTGATAATGCCGAGAGCGAAAGTGCTTCAAGCTTGATTAGGATAGTCTTAAGCATGTCAATATGCTTCAGAAATCCGTTTGTGACATTTTATTATGCCTTTTTCTGTGTAGTTCCAAATCGATTTTAATTTTAAAGAGCGAAGAGCTTCTTACCAAAAACGGGTTTAATGGCTTCAAGCAAGTGCTTTGGCTAGGTATGGTTTTGTGTGTAGGTGATCCTATTCTAACCGAAATTTAATTTGCAATTTTCTGAAGGACGAAAGATTCCAAGACGATCTTAAGAAAGTATGCATAAAAAGCACGTTGTAGTGTTGCGTTTAATATTTTATCCGGGTTCGGAGTATTGATTTAAATGAATATTATTTTGAAAATTTTTTTCACATAATTTTACGAATTATACTCTAGACATATATATATATACGTCATGATTCGTTCCCCCGTCCTTGTCCGATTTCTTCATACAAATTTTATCATTAACGTGTAATGGAAAATAATTATCGTCATTTTGTCAAGTCGGTTCCATTACAACCTAAATTTCACATAATACATACTGTCGGTCGAGACAGGAAACTTGCAGAGAACTTATGTTGCATTGTATGATGCATGTCCGTATATATTGAAAATTCTTCGAGATTTTTTCTGCGGAATGGTGTTAATGCCTATGTATCGGGCACAACTCACTCACCTGATTGTCTCAAACGAACATGTGCTTAAAAGGCGACATTTCAGCTTACATTTTTTGAAAAGAGAGTTTTCTAATTCTTCGCTCGTGTACAAAGTTATATTGATTTGAAAATGAGTGAAAAATTTGAAGAAATACGTTGTTGTGTAATGCGTTTTTACTATAAGAAATTGTATAAAAACGATGCAAAAAAAAAAAAAAAAAATCAGTGAAGTGTACGGTGAGAAAGTTGTGATTTAACGAAGGACACAGGAGTGGTTTGCTCGATTCCGTTGCGGAAATTTCGATATCAAAGATGCAACTCGCAGTCGGTGTAAAAGTCGATGAAATTTCGCAACTGATGGAGCGAGA